CCGGACTGGGGCGCCCTGCAGTTCCCTGCCCAGTCCCTGGGACTCAGAGCGGGGGCCTGGCGCGGCTCGCGGCGGGGGACCCTTCCGGCCTCCTCCCTCCTTCCAGCCCGGACCCGGCCTCCGAATCCGCGGACTGGAAGAAGGCTGCTCCCAACTGTCTGGGACCTACAGCAGCGCCAAACCTTCTCCGGCTGGGCACCTCCCGCCGCCCACACGTACCAGGGCCAGGGAGGGGCCCGGGGAGAGTCCTGCAGAGCCCCTCGGGACTCGGCAGCGGCCCGGGCCGGGGTCTGGGCACTGACCCCTTCAGATCACCGCCTGGGGGAGGCAGCCAGCCTCCGCACCTGTGACCTCATTCTGCACCTGGGGAAGCTGAGGCCCAGACAGGGGTTATAACGGCCAGCCACCGAGGGCACCCACCCCACTTCCCTTCGTGCGGCCTTGGGGTGGGCCGGGCTGATCTAGGCCTCTCTGCCCCGCAGACATGTCCTTCCGCAAAGTGGTACGGCAGAGCAAATTCCGGCATGTGTTTGGGCAGCCGGTCAAGAATGACCAGTGCTACGAGGACATTCGAGTGTCCCGTGTCACCTGGGACAGCACTTTCTGCGCGGTCAACCCCAAGTTCCTGGCAGTGATTGTGGAGGCCAGCGGCGGGGGCGCCTTCCTGGTGCTCCCCCTAAGCAAGGTGGGGCCCGTCAGGGTAGGCGGGGGAGAAGGGTGGAGGCACCGCCACTACCTCTGTGCGCATCACATCCCATGTTGTCACACTGTTGGCCAGGTGTCATAGTCCAGATTTATTGCCCCAGGAGGTGTCAGCACGGATGCAGAAGGTGGTTTATTGCCACGGATTCAGGATTAGAAGTGATAGCCATATCTGGCTCATTTGGTGGGTGGGGCACAGTCACATCTGGGCCACCTGTGTGCAGGGCCACCTGTAAGCCTGGCCATCATTCCCAATCCACAGAGGGGAAGACTGAGGCTCGGGATGGAGCCAGAGGTCTGGGCTCCACCTGACTGCCCCTTTTTACCCACAGACGGGCCGCATTGACAAGGCCTACCCGACAGTGTGTGGGCACACGGGACCCGTCCTGGACATCGACTGGTGTCCCCACAATGACGAAGTCATCGCCAGCGGCTCAGAGGACTGCACAGTCATGGTGAGGCACGGGCCTGGTTGGACCAGGGCCGTGGGTGTGGCTCAGGTGGCTGTCAAGACGGGGACAGACAGAGCATTCAGCCCGGTGGCCCTGTCCCTACCACAGGTGTGGCAGATCCCAGAGAATGGGCTGACCTCCCCGCTGACGGAGCCAGTGGTGGTGCTAGAGGGGCACACCAAGCGAGTGGGCATCGTCACCTGGCACCCAACAGCCCGAAACGTGCTGCTCAGCGCAGGTCTGCCCCACCCCCGCCCGGCCCCCAAGCCTTCTCCAGTATCCCCTCCCGGCCCATTGGACAGATGGGAAAGCTGAGGCCCGTGGAGAGTGAGAGACCCAATCTGATCCCAGAGGGTGGGCAAAGTGGACCTGGTGAGCTGCCGGCCTGAGCTGATGTCCCCGCCCCGCCCCCACCAGGCTGCGACAACGTGGTGCTCATCTGGAACGTGGGCACCGCGGAGGAGCTGTACCGCCTGGACACCCTGCACCCGGACCTCATCTACAATGTCAGCTGGAACCGCAACGGCAGCCTCTTCTGCTCGGCGTGCAAGGACAAGAGTGTGCGCATCATCGACCCCCGCCGTGGCACCCTGGTGGCAGTACGTGGCTCCGGCAGGCGAGGATGACTGTGGTTGGCCCGGGGGCTCGAGCGGGGTGCTGCACTGACCGGCCCATCCCTCCCACAGGAGCTGGAGAAGGCTCACGAGGGGGCCCGGCCCATGCGGGCCATCTTCCTGGCGGACGGCAAGGTGTTCACCACAGGCTTCAGCCGCATGAGCGAGCGGCAGCTGGCGCTCTGGGACCCCGTGAGTGGCCGGGGCCAGCCCGAGGGGCCGGCTTGAGATGTGGGCCCCACCCTGGGGCCACCTGCGGTCCCCAGGCTCTGTCAGGCCCTCGAGGCTCCCAGGACCCAGGACCCACCTCTCCTGCCCCCAGCTATCCTCCCTGACTCCCTGTGTCAGAGTATTTGCTTACCTTGCCTCTCTGAGCGGAAGGACCCTTCCTCCTTTGCTCGTCTGTGCCACCAGCTGCCAGCACAGGCTCTCTCCTCCAGGAAGCCTTCCAGCCCTTCCCTGCAAGAGCTGTGTTCCCCAGCCTTCTGCTTCTGCATGGTGACCCCCAGGGTCTCTTCGGGGGCAGGGGCTGGTGCTGCCAGGACCCCCGGGGTCCCCGTGGTAGGGAGTTTCCCAGCACTTGCTCAGTGGCCTGGAGGAGGCTGGGAAGATGGACCCCTGGGAGTGGGGAGGAACCGGGAAGGCCTGGTGGGTGACGCCATGTGGGCAGAGGCTTCGTGGTGGGAGAGCGTCGCCGGGACGTTGGAGGGCCGGAGGGCTGGCTGGTGAGGCTGCCTAAGGCCAGGCCAAGTGGGGGCTTGGGGCGGGGGAGGGGCGGAGGTCCCGCTTGGCCTGACCATTCCCCGATGTGGCAGGAAAACCCGGAGGAGCCCATGGCCCTGCAGGAACTGGACTCGAGCAACGGGGCTCTGCTGCCCTTCTATGACCCTGACACCGGTGTGGTCTACGTCTGCGGCAAGGTGGGGCTGGGCGGGGCTGGGGGGGTCCGGGCACAGGGCAGCCCCGGTGCTGAGTCCCTTCCTCCCACAGGGCGACTCCAGCATCCGGTACTTCGAGATCACAGACGAGCCCCCCTACATCCACTTCCTGAACACGTTCACCAGCAAGGAGCCCCAGAGGGGCATGGGCAGCATGCCCAAGCGGGGCCTGGAAGTCAGCAAGTGTGAGATCGCCCGGTAAGAGACCCCCCCCGCAGGCGGCTGTCTGCAAGAAAGGCTCAGCGGGGGGCCGGCCTGGGGAATGGGTCGGCCCCCAGGAACAGGGACCCGGCCGTGGGCCTCCCAGGTGAGGGGTCAAGTCCACGGGAAGCTTCTTGGGAGCAGGAATGAGCCATGGGGACGGTTCAGGGGTCAGTCTGCAGGAACCTTCTGGCAGGGAGGCCTGGGCGAGGCTTCTGGGGGCCCGGGGGTCAGCCTGTGGGAGGCCTGGAGGTGGGGAGGGTGGCCAGGGGGGCTGAGGGTCTGCTCCCCCACGTTCCCAGGTTCTACAAGCTGCACGAGCGCAAGTGTGAGCCCATCGTCATGACTGTGCCAAGAAAGGTGAGGCTGCCCAGGCCTCTGCCCTCCTGCCTCCTGCTCTAGCAGCTGGGCCCCACAGGGGTGACCGGGGTGAGGCCTAGGCATGGGTCCTGACCTAGCATGGAATGCGGGCAGTGGGCTGCACAGAGGCACCGTGTTCTTGTACCCAGCCAGGGTGGGCTGTGCCAGGCAGGGGACAAGCAGGGATGAGGACTGGGTGAGCGGGGACCCCTGGATGAGCCCCAGGAGACGGATGCCAGACAGGCAGCCACAGAGGTCTCCTGGAGGAGTCAGGACCCTTATTAGCATGCCATCCACTGCAGGCAAAGCATGGCAGCAGGCATGGAGAAAGGGACAGAGTCTGGCTGCAGCGGAGAGTCCCGCGAGGGGGTGACCAGGCCACGTGTGGCATGGCCTCAGATGCCCAGCCTTGGACACACTTCCATTATTCTCTGGCCGGCGTTTGCTTGGTGCCCCATTCAACGTGCCAGGCCCGCCTCGGGGAGCAGGGCTGGGAGCAAGGCTGTTGGGCCCGCCCCGTCAGCTCACAGTCCATGGGGCCTCCAGGATCCCACAAAGCCACACAGCTGGCCCCTGCGGCCTGCCAGGGAAGGTGGGGACAGGGGCCCTGCTCAGGAAAATCGGGGTAAACTTCCATGAGAGCCGTGGATGGCTCCAGAAGGGAAGTGAAAGTCCAGATATGAGCTTTAGAAAGGTTGCTCGGGCCGGGTCGTGGGAGGATGGATTGACAGAGTGCAAGCCTGGAGGCCGGGAGAGTGAGGAGGCAGCCACCCAGACGGAAGGACCCTGATGGGGCCCCGGCTGATCCTGACCTCTCCCGCCCCCTGCCCAGTCCGACCTCTTCCAGGACGACCTGTACCCCGACACCGCCGGGCCTGAGGCGGCCCTGGAGGCAGAGGAGTGGGTGAGCGGGCGGGACGCCGACCCCATCCTCATCTCGCTGCGGGAGGCCTACGTGCCCAGCAAGCAGCGGGACCTGAAAGTCAGCCGGCGCAATGTGCTGTCTGACACCCGGCCCACGGCAGCCCCAGGCTCTGCCCGCTCCACGTCCGCCGCCACCACTGCAGATGCCACCCCCAGCGGCAGCCTTGCTGGAGCCGGGGTATGTGCCTCCCACCCGGGTGGGGCAGTGTGGGGAGCCCCAGGTCTGCTGTGTGTGCCGGGCCCGTCGCTGTCCTCTGGGCCTGAGGCGCCTGCTGGGCTTGGGAGGGCTGTGACTTGCCCCACGCCCCTGCAGGAGGCCGGGAAGCTGGAAGAGGTGATCCGCGAGTTATGGGCCCTGCGGGCGCTGGTCAAGGAGCAGGGCGAGCGCATCGGCCGCCTGGAGGAACAGCTGGGCCGCATGGAGAACGGCGATGCCTAGGCCGCCCGCCGCGGACACCACTGCCCACGCCACTCTGCGTCCTTCATTCTGTCTCACAAGCTCCCGCTGGCAGGTCACACCGGGCTGGCTGGCAGCCCGGGCCTCAGGCGCGCCTGGGGCGGTTTCCGCCCTGACCCATCCCGGGCCCAGGCTGGAGCCAGCACCTGCCTTTGGCCATTGTCGCTGCGGAGGACTTTTGTCCTTGCTTGTCCTCCGAGGGACCATCTTCCCACCCCCGCCCGGCCCCCTGCTCCCTCCCCAGAGGCGGGAGGGATGGGCGCTATATTTTCATTCCAAATAAAATTCTCTTTCTAAAAGCCAGGGTTGACCGGCAGCAGCCGGGGATGGGGGTGGG